CACACACATATGTACTTATCTAAATGGGGACATTTTTATACACTTTAACTCTTTTTATATACAGCCAGTTATAAATACTAACGCCTAACACAAAAATTATTGCAATTTTCCAATGAAAAAATAAAACTTTATTTACTTAATTTTTACACTATTTTTGTCAGGGAGTTTTGTGTTTAGCTCACTGCTGGGTAAAAATGTGTTCCCAAAATATGGTTAAATAGGTACACACACCCATACACCCACCCCTCACTCCATCCCAGACTCGCCTAGGCTTTACTGGTGCCTCACATACATGTTAACACTCTAAAAAAGGAAGGCAGAATCAGTAGGGACAGACACATGTACTGAGGTCTGGGCAGGCAGAACTAACAAAATGGGCAGATCTTTAGCAAAGGGGATCTTGGGGAGAGGACCACCTTGGAAAAGTGTAACACCACAGTAAGAATGACCAATTTGACAAGTGATGGGGGAAGAACTGTGATGAAGTTCAAGGCAATGTGTGACCAAGCACGGAAGGAGGTGAGGAGGCAGGCTTGTTGGAACATTCATTCGGGGCACAAAATGAGCAGGCAACAACAAACGGATGGACCTCCTCAACAATAGAAGGACACAAAACTCCCTGGCAGATGGATACCAGCATCCTCCTCAATCCTGGATGGCAATCCTCCTCTGAGCATCTCAAGCCATCCAAAAGGGCCTCCATAACCAGCACATGGTAGATCATGGTAGATCATGGATCCCAGACGTATCCACCATTTTCTCCTCTTGTGGAACAGAAAGCACAGAGCCAGGAGACACGGCAGCACCTAAAACAATGCTTACGACATAAAAGACTCCAGGAAAGAACATAATTTCCAATTGACTCATTGTAGGGGCTGTATTTCACCAGCCAGGGATGACCCCATACAATGGAAGCCTTGGGGACTCAAGAACAAAACAGGCAGAATCAAAGTGTCCAGATCTGCCATAGTAAAGGCACCTTTGGTGATGCAGCTCTGCCTCTCCTCAGCTATGAGACAAGTCCGGCCACACTGCATAGGCTCAGGTTCTCCCAAGTATTCAGAATGAGGGCTGACAGATGAAACTGTCATGCAAGCCAGCAAACTGGCAGCTGAACATTTTTGGAACCTGGATGTAAAGACAAGGTAAATCTGCCAAAAGACACCCAAAGAACTATGCCAAGTGGGCCTGCTGGAAAATTAATCTCTTGGCTGAATGGAAATACTCAATGCAGAGAGATGGACACAGCTCAGGATTTGCTGAAGACTATCCAAAGATCATGGTAGACCCTGGGACCCCAGACAGATCCGTCACCTTTTCCTCCTGTGGAACAGAAAGCACAGGAGCCAGGAGACATGGCAGCACCCAAACAATACTTAAGACAGAAAGGGCTCCAGGAAAGAACAGAATTCAGTTCACAGTTACTGACACACTACTACACACTCAATACAGTAGACTCAGGCCATGTGTCCACCAAAGCATTTTTTTCCCTGAGGCTAGCGTATTTTTTTGTTGTTTTGAATGGGAGAGCAGCATTTTTTAAAACAGCAGGAGTGTGCCAAGCGCTAAGTGTCTTTTTCTTGTCTCCAAACATTTATGTCTTTGCCAGATGGAATTGCCGGACTACCATATTATTGTTATGAAAAATAATGCTTGGAGAAACACTTAATTCGTGATGTGTCTGCCATATTACTTCAGCAGATATTCCATATCATAGCAACCACAGCGTCTCAACTGAAAAAAACGCTGCACTCCCAAGTGCTCACAGCTGGGCATTTTCAGCAGAGCGTCTGGTGTTTTCAGCTAGCTAAAAACACTTTGGTGGGCACGCGGCCTCAATGTGGGGATGTGTGTTTCACCAGCCAGGGATGACCCTGCACAGTTGAAGCCTGGCGAACTCAAGAACAATATAGGTAGAAGCAAAGTGTCCAAATCTGCCACAGTAAATGCACTGGAATTTGGTGATGCAGCTCTGCCTATATTCAGCTATGAGATGAGTCTAGTTAAACTGCATAGGTTCAGATTCTGTCAAGGATTCAGGATGAGGGTTGAGCAATGAAACTTGAACGCGGGCAGCACAGTTAAAATGGTGCAATGCCAGGCAATCACCCAGCCTAAAGGCCAGGTCTACCATGTTATCAAACTGTGTCGCAAGCTCATGTAGATACCAAATTCTGACTTTCATCTGTGAGCCCATGCAAGAACTAGTCCCATTGCGCAGCCACATTAAGTGGCCAGGGTTTCAGAACTGAATTGTGCATTCACAAACTGAGCTGTCCCCCTGGTGGAGCAAATCCAGATGTCGTGCTGCCTTCCCTATATACACTGACCAGTTGAACACCTTGATTGGGCCAGGACACACCAAGCCAACTTCAAAGAACTAGCGGTGACGAAAGCCAAGAGTTTGTCACCTCACACCGGCTGCATCTGGACCAAAAATTGCGCTTAAATACAACACACAGACTACAGCTGACTGCAAACTAGTACATGCATTCTGTGCCTCAGGGCCGATGCTAACTATAGGCAGAGCAGGTGATTACTTAGGACAGAGCTGTCCAAACTCGGTACTGGAGGGCCGGTGTCCTGCAGAGTTTAGCGCCAACCCTAATTAAACACACCTGAACCAGCTAATCAAGCTCTTACTAGGCATAGAAACTTCCAGTCAGGTGTGTTGAGGCAAGTTGGAGCTAAACTCTGCAGGACACCGGCCCTCCAGGACCGAGTTTGGACAGCCCTGACTTAGGACCTCAGCCTTTGAGGAGGGGCCTCCATAAGCGTAACATCCCCTATATGCCAGTCCAGTGGTTCCCAACCACGTTCCTGGAGGCACCCCAACACTGTATGTTTTCCATGTCTCCTTAATCAAACACACCTGATTCAGATCATCAGCTCATTAGTACAGATTCCAAGACCTGAAATGGGTGTGTCAGGTGTTACGTCCCCAGGTCTAGGGTTCAGGGGCGAAACATTAAAAAAGAATGAGTCCACAGGTACTTTTAAGAAAACCTTTCCGGGTTC